ACTACTTGGTGCACGGCTTTGTTCATTTCTACGAAGTCGGCGAGATCCGCACCAGGAATGAGCAGATCGCTCAGAAATCTGGGCTCTCCAAAAATGCAGAGGATCTCTTGCGTGTGGTGATGGTAGATCAGCCTAGTGCGGCTAGTTCAGAATCTCAGGTGATGGACAAACTGCATGCGTTCTTCATTACCTTAGAATACTTGAACATCTGTGAGTTCTCCGTGGCAGCCGGCCCCCTGAAATACTTGTCTGATCTGGAGGAGTGGCGCCATGAGAACCGTGGCCTGGCCTTGCTCTTGGCGGCTGATGCGTTGATCCGCAAGAAAGTTCATCGAGTGAGCTCTGATCAGCGCAAGACATTTGGCACGTTCTCTGCCGCCTTGCTTGAGGTCTTGACCAACCACAAACAGCTGTGGAATGACGCTCGATCAAGCGCAGAGTTGGACAAGTTCAAGCAGGTGCTGCAGACTACGGCGCCATCTACACCGTCAAAGAAGCGCTCCAGATCTCGCTCGCAGTCAGCCCCAAAGGCTTCACCCAAAGCTCGAAAGAACAGGGCTCGTCGTGAACGCCAGAAGGCCTTGCTCAAGAAAGCTAAGGTTGGTCACGCCTCAACGCCACCTCCCAAGTCGGATCAGGCCAAGAAACCCGCTCGAGATGAACGGGTCCCGGCCCACGAATGGCAGAAGATTACTTCGTTCAAGTATCAAGGAGCCAAGCGATGCCCTTTCTTCAACTGCTCACTGGGTTGCCGCTTTGGTGATCACTGCCGCCAGAAGCACAGCTGTGTGGAATGTGGTAAAGATCACCCGTGGCACGGCAACCACTGAGCTCGGCCCAACTTTGAGGGGGCCTCACTGGAAGCGCCCCCCGGTCAATGGAGCTGTCCAGCCACAGTGTGTTATGATGGCTTGTCGGCATCTGCGCCGTCCGGTCGGAAAACGGCTGATTCTGAGCCGTTCACTGTGCCTGGTTGGTCCCAGTTGACCGAAGATTTCACCATTTTGCGCTCGCATGGCCCATTTTTCCTGGAAATTTTTGCTGGCCAAGCAGGCATCACAGAGGCTGTTCAGCTGATGGGTGTGCCTGCGCTGCCGCCAGTGGATGTGGTTGTCTCTGATCTGGTCAGCGAAGCAGCCGATGTGTTGGATCTGGCAGTGTGGGAGACTATCATGGCAATCATTGCTATCATTGCTGCCAGGCTGGTCTTCTTGCTCCATTGTGGCACCCCGTGCAACACCTTCACTGCAGCTCGCAAAGATGATGGAGGACCTCCTCCACTGCGCTCTCGCGATGCTCCTCTTGGTCTTCCAGGACTCAGTTGGCAAAACCAAGCTCTTGTTTTTATGGGTAATCTGTTTTTGATCCGAACGTGCGAAGCTTGTACTCTTGTTTTTAATCTTGGAGGGAATTTCACGATCGAAAACCCCCTGTTGAGCCTCATGTGGGCTACGACAATGATGGACCAGCTCGTCCACGACACACGAGCTCTGGCTGTTGATTTTGATCAATGTGCCTTTGGGGCTCCGTCCAAGAAGCCCACACGTTTGTTGTGCTCAGCTGAACATTTCGAGGTGCTCCAGGTACTTTGTCCAGGAGGGCACGTGCACGAGTCTTTGAGAGGCAAAGTGTTCGACCCCCTTCAGGGCAAACTGGTGTTCAAGACCAAGGCTGCGCAGGTCTATCCTTGGGCTTTGTGTGCGGCGTTCGCCAGCGTTGCTCACGATCTATGGCAAGACCCTCTTCATGCTCTACAACCTTCGCTGCAGCTGACCACGCCCCCTGCGGATCGCAAACGCGAAGTGGGCTCCTGCAAACCGTGGCTCGGACACAAGCAGGAGGAGTCGGCTCTCAAAGCGCTCTGGGCGGGTTATCAGCTGAAGCGGGGTGCGGCCAAGCCTTTGTTGCATGTGGAGATGGAACCTGGCCAAGCGATCGAGGCGGCCTTGAACGTGATCCACCCTTTCACCATCGAGGCTCCTCTGGCAGCGATGGAAGAAGCAGCCGTCCTCCAACTTCGGCGCCCGTCTGAGGTGATCATGGCTGAGCGGGCGCGGTTGCTACAATTTTGGCATGCTCAGGCAGTGGCTTTATTGCCCCACTCAGTGGCGGCGATCCGGGCGCTGCCCGATCCCCATCTGCGGCGTCTGCTCCTTGGCACTGACGACCTTTCCGTGCCGCGCCTTGGTCAAGTTTGCCACGTCGCATTGTACGAGGCTATGCTCATGGCGTGCGGCTCGGTGGATCAGTCATTGCCCTCTTTTCTCTTGCACGGTTTTCCGATCGTTGGTGAGATCGCTCGCTCTGGTCGATGGCCTCCCTACAATAAGCCCCAGAAAGACATCCCGGTGCAAGACGCATTGGATAGGGCCTGGGTTCTTCGGAAGAAGATCATCCAACGTGTTCAATCAGTACAGATCTCTGACAACCTTCAGAAGATTTGGGATGCATCGATCGAAGATGTTGAGGAGAAATCGTGCTTGGGCCCCTTTGTGTCTGAAGAGGAGGTCACGAAAGCTCTTGGGTGCGACGATTGGGTCCCAACTCAGAGATTCGAAGTTGTTCAGAAGAATAAAGTTCGTGGTTGTGACAGCGCCACGACAAACATGATCAATCAGATCACCCGGATCTCGGAGAAGCTACAACTGCCTTCTACAGACACGAATGTCGCAGCTCTGCGCAAGTTGAGAACGATCAAGCCTGGCGTGAAGCTGGCAGGGTGGGTGCTCGACGAGCGCAAAGCCTATCGGCAAGTAGCGGTGCGACCTGATCACCGGAAGTTCTCTGTTATTTGCTTGAAGAATCCGAAGACTGGTGCTCCCAATTTCTTCATCATGATAGGTCACTCATTTGGCTTGGTCTCAGCTGTATACAACTACAATCGCCGATCGGCGGCCATTAACGAGTTCTTGGTCTCGCTGTTCGGCTTAGTGGCTTTCAGCGTCTATGACGACAAATATGGTTTTGAACCTCTGGCGATCGCGGGAAGTGCTCGTGCAGTAGCTGAACATGTTCATTTCTGGTTAGGTGCGAAGTTTGATCAGAAGAAATTGCAGCTATCTACAGAGCCCACGATCCTAGGGGTGACTTACAACCTTGATCAGATGCAGTTGGAGATCAAAGCTGAGCGGAGAGAAGAGATCACCCAGGAGATTGAAGCGATCGTGAAGGCAGGCATTCTAGACCCTGGCTCGGCGGGGAAGTTGAAAGGTAAGCTCATGTTTGGCGCTTCTCAGCTCTGGGGAAAAGTTGGACGAGCTTTTCTGAGGGTCATTTCTGAGCGCCAATACCTTCGTTTCCCGATCGGTAGTGAGTTCAAACTAGATCAACCTCTGCTCGAGTCTTTGCTCCACTGGAAGAAATTGGTCAATGAGGGACCGCCGAGGCCGATCGAATCAGCTTCGGCTAAACTAGTGGATGCAGTGATTTTCACAGATGGTTTCACGCCGGATCCTAGGAAGAAGGAACGTTTGCCTGATCGTGTAGGAGCTGTTCTTTTTGATAGGCGTTTGAAACGGCCTATGCAATTCACGTCAGCTGTCTCCAAAGCCGTTAAGAGGCGGTGGCTTGAGCGCTCGACTCAGTTTGTTCCTGTTGAGATGGTCGCAGCTGTTCTAGCCCTGGAGACTTTTGCTGATAGGATCCGTGGTTCAGATATCTTATTGCTCATAGATTCCGAGGCTGTTGAAGGTGCCTTGATCAAAGGCTACTCGAGCCGAGAGGATCTCTGTCAATTAATATCTGTATTTTGGGATCTTGCATTTCAGCTCCGAGTGAGAGTTTCTATCGATCGGATCTCAACTGATGCCAACCCAGCCGATTGGCCATCAAGAAATAAACTTTCCATAGGCGAGGCCGCAGGCTGGATCACAGTGAACCCCTGCTGGCCGAAGGCTCTGTTTGAGACTTAGGAGAGGGCCTGGGTCAGTGACTAAGCTCAACTTCATTTGCTCTCACCACATGCTTTGACCTGCCTGTGAAAGGCTCTGTGTTTAAGCGTTGTTTGGTTTGAGTCTATTTTTGAGCCTGGTCATTTGGCTTATGCATCTTACTGATCTGATGATCTGATCAGTGTCTCTGACAGTGACCTGCTCGCCCCATGCCCTGAGCAGCGTCCGCAAAAAGGATCTTTTTGCACATGCAGCTGTTCAGGCGCGTCGGTTTCTTGGATTGGGTTCTGATCAGTTAGAAAGTAAGAGGGATTCTCTCTTACGTTCATGAACAAGTGAGTCGGTTGCATATCAACGGTTAGGTAGGTTTGGGATAAGCAGCTGACTCTCATGATGCATGTTCTAACTCGATCGTTTCCCTTGCGCTCTATATATATTATAATATCTCTCTCGAGTTTATTATATATATATATATGGAGTCTCCTTTTATTTTATACCAAGTGCAGTGTCCTGATGTGATCACTAAGGACTCGATGCGGTCGTTTGCCATTTTGGCACAAAGAACGAGTGATCACAGTCAGGCCACAGCTCTTTTTGATCACCCAACCCAGCCCGCCCTCGTGAATGAGGGTGGGCTGGACTTCCAGCCCACACATTTTTCGGTGGGGTCAGTGACTAAGCTCAACTTCATTTGCTCTCACCACATGCTTTGACCTGCCTGTGAAAGGCTCTGTGTTTAAGCGTTGTTTGGTTTGAGTCTATTTTTGAGCCTGGTCATTTGGCTTATGCATCTTACTGATCTGATGATCTGATCAGTGTCTCTGACAGTGACCTGCTCGCCCCATGCCCTGAGCAGCGTCCGCAAAAAGGATCTTTTTGCGCATGCAGCTGTTCAGGCGCGTCGGTTTCTTGGATTGGGTTCTGATCAGTTAGAAAGTAAGAGGGATTCTCTCTTACGTTCATGAACAAGTGAGTCATATATATATATATATACACATACATACATACACATTTACACACACATGTACATTCATGAACATCTCTGATCTATATTATGCATATTGAGCTGTTCTGCGATCTTCTGTGCCCACGTCTGACCTGACGCCTTAGGCGCCACTCAAGGTGCATGGGGGGCGGTCGCGGGATGGTAGGGGAGATGTGCGAGAAAAACGGAGATATCACCAGCAAAAACAACATCATATATGATTTTTTTCATGAATGTTCATGTGATTTTCCATGATTTTCCTTGGAGATGGTGATTTTTGGAGAGCACACATGATGAATTCAACTTCACAATGACCAAGCAATGGGCACCAAAGTCGATCTAGACAGGACTCATCCTCTCCGGGTCGCAAAGAGCTGCTCCTGGCAGTCAAAGAACGCAGGAGGAGAGGGGATTTCCGGTCGTTTTTTTTGTGGAAAATCTATGGATATCTATGGTCTTTTGGGGTTTATAAACCAACTTATAAATGGGAAGAGAATTATGGGGATATAACGGGATACAACCACTCAGTAACCACTCTTCATCTTTTTTTGGTCAAATCATGTGAAATAATGATCAATAGTCAATAGGGTTTAGAAACCAAGCGGTTTTACCGGGCACCTCCTACGATGCAGGGATGGGAAGAAAATAGGATACAAGCAACAGACCAACAGATACCAACAGTGTGATATTTGGATGTGGTTGAAAATAAAGTTGTAAACCCACTGCCATTTGATAGGGAACATGATAACGAGTGGATTTAGGCGTACTGACAGTCTGACAGTACCCTGTTTTGAGACAAACCAGACCTATACCAGCACTTTGTTTTCTTTTGTGTGCCGAAACATTACTTTCGGTTAAAAATAACACATTGGTACTGTAGGTGAAAAACAAACTCTCTGGTGGTTGAACAGTGTTGACCCTCTGGATCGGGATGAGCATCGGTATGGACACCGCAGGTGTGCACCAGCATGGTAAGCAGGGGATCTGATGTGATCTAACATGATCTAACCCTGAACACACACAAATATAACGAACATGGGCATGTGTTTTGGGGGTAACTCTGTGGAAGTGGATCATAAAACCTACTGTATAGTTTGAAGCCGGTTTTCTCAACTGGGAAGTTGAGTAGGATCTCAGACATTGAACATGATGCCTGTTTGGAGAGTCTGCATCAGGTAGCGGTAGCTGTTTTTTTTTGGGGTGACAGAAACATTTGGAAAATGCGGGCATCACTCAGTTCTGGTTAAAAGGCATTTTTTTGCCATGCTCATCGGTTCTTGAATTTGTCCCAAGGTTGGAACCCCTTGGACCCCTTGGGCTCTCAGGACTTGGAGTGAAGTACAAGAGCTCCGACAGGCCACGACTTGAAACTCGAAATTTCGATTGAAGTTTTTGCATGTTCAGATTGAGCGCTGTATCTGGGAATTGCACTGGGGTTTCATGGCAAAGGTGTAGGTGCTGGCTGTGCACACACAGATTGAGGGTTGGAAATTGAATGTTGCTGCCAACGACGGAGGTCAGCCAAACGTGGGCTGCCAGTTGCATGGTGCAACCAGCAGTCAGGATGAAAGTTTTTGAAGAGGCGTCAAAATCGGCCGGGATTTTGAGGAATAGCTGGCGTGGATTGACAGCAAGGGATGATTATATCATATTATATAATTATAATAATTATATCATCCATTGCTGGTCTAGAATCTAGAATACTCCTAGAATCATCCCAGTCTTATCATGAGTTTTTTTGGATGATGTGATTGCCGTTCTGGAGGGCGGCACCCCGTGGGGGAGTGAATTTTCATTAAAAATGATGATAAAACACTGTAAATACCGATGTTTTATGCATTTGGGTCTAAAACCCTAATAAAACGCACTTTTTTCATCATGATCTTGACATGAGATACACAAAAACATTGACAGGCACCAAAAAAAACAAAACAAGATGCAGCCCACGAACCCGAATGCTCACACGTATGTTAATGGTGGTGATGTCGAAACACATGGATATGCAGTCACGCAGAACACTTTTCTGCAATAGTTTCTTTGAACATATTTGAACAGTCTTGTATATACATATTTCCCCTGTTACCAGTCTGCAGTGTGGAGTGGAATGTGTAGAGTGTAAAGTGTAGAGTGTAAAGTGTAGAGTGTAAAGTGTAGAGTGCGGAGTGTGGTGTGTAAAGTGTGGAGCGTGGAGTGTGGAGTGTAAAGTGTAGAGTGTAGAATGTGGAGTGTAAAGTGGGAAGTGTGGAGTGTGGAGTGTAAAGTGTGGAGTGAGGAGTGTAAAATGTAATGTGTGGAGTGAGGAGTGAAAAATGTAAAGTGTAGAGTGTGGAGTGTTGAGATGATATCAATCTAACAAGTTCATGAAGAAACAACTATATCATATCAATTTCTTCTAGCAATAGAATTTCTCCACCACCTCTATCACACTAGTCACCTATTGCTACGTATATCCTGATTCCAAGATGCGCACCTACCCATTCTTATGGCATGCTGTGCAGCAGATGTTTTCTGTTATGTGCTGATTGTTTGTAGTTCTTTGCAAGCCTCACAGGAAAAATTGAATCCTGTCACAAGAGTCTGTAGATGCCAGTGATTTATGACAGCATATGATAGCCTTTGGACTTTCGAGGTGAACTCAATTCTTTGCTCTAAAATAACGGTTTTAAGCCTACTTTGGTCACAAAACACTGTAAATACCAGTATTTTTGACAATTTTTGGAGCAAAAATCACTCCCCCATGAGGGGCCGTTCTGGTGTTGAGTCACGGGGTTGCTGTCTTGAGTCATGAAAGAACGGTGGACCATCCTCCTGACATTTCCTGGCGGCAAGGACCGGCAGCGGCTCAATGAGGAGGCGCTGAATCGATGGCATCAGCAGCTGGAGGGATTGACCCTGTGTCACTGAGCTGCAGGGAAAACCCTCCAAATCCTCCAAATTTGATGGTAAATTTGATGGTTTATCAATGTCTATGATAATATTCTTCTTGAATATTGGCAATCTGTCTATGGACATGCCGGATTTTCGGATATGCCCATATGCATATGTTCTTTTGTGGGGCTTGCCAACCTTTCTATCTGTGTATGTGAATGAACATAGGATGATGCCACGACGCATTGAAGGTTTCTGGTGTTTTTATGATAATTATTGGTCTCCAACAACCTCGGTCTGAATTTCACCAGTTTTTTTTAAAGCATATCAGTGGGAAATTACAAATATGTACCAAATATGTCATATCAATGGGTACCTACCAAATATTTTCAAATATGACCATTTATTTTCCACACCCGGGGAATCCTTTGTGGTTGGGAGCAACTGGAATCGGTTATTTGAGTTGCCCCGGCAGGACACAACTCATCGTTTTCACATCATGGTTTCTGACTGCAGGTTGTGGTCTCATTTGCCTGGCATATTTGGGTTATCACGTTGAGCCACGCTGGCCGCGTTACTGGTCAGCCTATTCTGTTGGTAACTTGGCACTCTGAGTTGGCGCAGGAATGTGAGGTCCATACGCTCTTATCGGAGGAAACATGTCATTCATGGTCGGCACATGTTGGCAAGTTCGGAAAATTGATTTCCTTCACGGAACTCCACAGAGGTTTCCAAAGGTGACTGGTTTTCCCCAGAATCGCAAGTGCATCCATTGCAGTCGGTTGTGAACCTCAATTGCAACTTCCCGATTTGCTGTCTTCAAACTCATCGTTAAAGATGGTTTATCTATGTTTATCTAGAAACAGTCCAGCAAATTGGTCTAAGGGAAAATCTATATTTTGAGGCTTTCCAGTAGGTGTTTCCGGTCGATTTTCCCAACACCGGCTCCGGTGGGACACCTCCACCGTGGCGCCGACGGGCGCAGGTGCATTGTCCAGTCTGGCCTCGGGGCTACTGGGCTTGGCATTGGAAGCCCACAGACCCAAGGAACAGCGTCAGTACTCTGCAGCTTGGCAATTCGAATGGGGAAGGTGGGAAAGCCAATGATGCTTTCTGAATGGGACTATGATTGGGTTTGCCACATTATGATGAAGAAAGTGGGTTTCTTGTGAAATGTGGGGAATATGATGCTTAACTAAGAATTTGCCAGTGGATTCTTTTGATGGTATATCAATCCATCTGGGTCTGACTCAAACATGAGGTAGCACTGGCCCACAAGATTGATCATTCCTTATATTTATCCATACCAAAATGGATGTCAATTCTGCACAGAAGCTGCGGCCAAGGTGGGCGGTATCCAGCTGATTGCTGGTCTTGTGGCAGACTCAGCTCATCCTGGTGGGGTCGAAAGCAACGGGGTGCTTGCTACACGCAAGCAAAATTGAAGCAAATGTGTAAAGCAGTCTAATGCATACATATATGATCATGCATATATATACATACATACATGATATAATCATAATATATATGTATACACATTAAAACATGCATACACATATATGTATATACATATATATATAAACATGCATACACATATGTATATACATGCACATATATATATATACATACGTACATGTATATATATATATACATATGTATGTATGTATGTACGTACGTACGTACGTACGTACGTATGTATGTACGTACATACATACATACATACATATGTATATGTATGTATATATACATATATATATATACACATACTAAAAACATATATACATACGTATTATATATACATAATGAATATATATATATACACATACGTAGTATGTATATATGTATACATATATATATATATACATACACATACATATATGTACATATACTACATACATATGCGTATGTACATATGTATATATATATGTGCAAATGTATATATATATACATACACTTATGTATACACATATATTTGTATACATATACGTATATACATATGTGTATGTGTATACATATACATACATATATATATATACACATACATCTACATATACACATACACATACATATATACATATGTATATATATATACACATGCACAGTTGGCATTGTTTTTGGAACCTTTCGGAATGGTGAAATCCCTTGTGTCTATTAGTTGGTGCTTAAACTAACGCCACGGTGGTGGCTTTTTTTCAGGTCATGGCGTTAGTGATGCCCATCTTGAACTCGGTGCCTCGGTTAGTGAATCCGAATCTTTCAGCATTTTGAGCTCTGGAATGGGCATATTAATATAGTGAGATTCAACCATCATTTCTTTCATCATGGGTTTAGCGACTGGAAAATCCACGCAATAAATGGGGATAACATTTTTGAAACATCACCAAGTAGTGGAAATATAAGCAACATTGACCAACCATCATGGGGATATGGTGGGATACAATGGGATACAATATTTATAACCAAGATGATATATCTGTGTATCTGAAAATGGGGTTATAACCGCCCAATTACAGCCATTTTATGAGGAAATTATGGTGATCACAATGGAGTTCGGGGGCACCAACTTCGACCTTTCCATGGTTGTTTTCCCAGAGCAAACAGGTATAACCCCCAGTTGCATCCAATTGCCTAATTTTATGAAGCAAAGTGCTGATGAAGCAGTAGATTTAGCATTTGCAGACCAAGCCAAGTACCTTTGGTACAACTTTGAGCATCTCATATCATGTGATGGGCTCACAAACATGAGCCCGGGCAGCCCAGGTGGGTATGCCATTGGCGCAACTGGCGGCTCATCATTTCATTGCATCGTCGACCTTAAGCCGTTTAGTTTCTTGGCACCGTTCACAATCCCCAAGGCGCCCAAGGCCCAAACGATTCGTGTGGATGTTAGTGATCAGGCTTGATGTCGAACTTGTCGGCAACGCTGGGAAGGACGATGCAACAAAACTCCGGATTCTTTTTTTCATGTTGATACACGGGTTTTTGAACTTCACAATGATTGATCAGTTCCGATCATCATCACACACACAGGGCCGCTAATCTTGTTATTTTTTTGTGGCCAGAGTACTGGTATCACCCTGCTGGGTCATATGGGTTATGTCTCCAACATGGGGGACTAAAGTGGCACTGCCAACATAGTCGTTTTCTGGATTTGAAAGGATCCAGTATTTGGATGTATTTGGGTTTTCCATGGTGTTCCACTGGTCCACCATTTCTGAATAGTTCTAGCTATTTTTAGGTATTTTCAGTATGCACGCATCCATTTTTTTGGGGGGGTCCCAACGTCTTTACCGTTCTTTTTTTGAGCCAGGTTGCTGGAAACACGGCAAGATCCTTCGCTTCCTACATCGCCCTGAACCTATGGCTGGGCGCCTTTATCTGCCAGTCACTTGTCAGGCCTTGTCGAGATGTGTGGAAGAGGCTTCGGATGTTGGAGGATGATGATGATGATGATGATGCTGATGCTGATGATGAAGAGGAGGAGGAGGTGGTGGAGGAGAATTCAACCCCTTGATTTGGTTTGGGTGTCGCATTTCAGTCACCTTTAGCCTGCTCTGAATGCCCGGGGTCACCGTCGACATTTGCCAACGCACATATCTTGAAGTAGTAGTCATGGCCAGTGGTCGAAACGAGTGGCTACAAACCATCAGAATCCTTCAAAGTGAGAAGGCTTGGGGGCCCAGATGTGCACTGCATCAGGCAGTCGCAGGAAAATATTGATTAGCCAGTGAATTTAGGCTGGATGATTTAGCAAATTTCCTGTATGATGGCTTAGGCTGATGTACCCGTCAATTTTGGCTAATTTATCATCATTTAATCATGATTTTGGCTTGTATAATTATTGACCAGTTCATTTCCGTTATATTTTTGGACAAACACAGATCACTTTCCTGGCTGAGGCTTTCCTGGCTGATGGTGGCGCCGACACCCTTTGTGGTGGTTTTAGAACTGGTGACTCGGCAGTTTTGAACTTCGCAGACGCCCAGTTTTGGAGGAAACATCCCAATATGGGCCTAGTGGCCTAGTAAAGATTGTGAAATTCACATAACATACACAGTCAGTTTCCTTTATCAAATATGTATATATATATACATACATATACATAAATACATATATATATATACATACATATACATATAACATGCTTTCCTGGCTGATGGTGGCGCCGACACCCTTTGTGGTGGTTTTAGAACTGGTGACTCGGCAGTTTTGAACTTCGCAGACGCCCAGTTTTGGAGGAAACATCCCAATATGGGCCTAGTGGCCTAGTAAAGATGGTGAAATTCACATAACATACACAGTCAGTTTCCTTTATCAAATATGTATATATATACATATACATATACATATACATATACATACATATATATATATACATACATATAACATATACATATACATATACATATACATATACATATACATATAACATACACAATTATAATGTATATTATTGTATATTTACGATTATCTATGTATATATGTAATATGTACATACATGTACATCCCCCAAACAGATCAGCATCATATCCTGATGTTCTTTGAATTGCAACTCCATAGCAACTGTCCGTAGATGCAAATTGTGTGATTCTGCATGCAACAACCCCTGATATGGGGGTTCAATAGTTTTTTAAAGGTCAATGAAGATCCAATATTACATGAGGGCATCTGCATGGTTTAACTTCTTAGACCCATAAATTGGTCGCACATTTCATATTCTGCAGATTTCTGCAAGTTTATTGACCAAACGATTCATGGTGTTTGGCCATCTGTTCTTGCTTGAATCCCGAGGCCAAGGTATCCCAGGGGTCTTAAAAGCAAGCATCTTGTGCTCGAAAAACCATGGTTTTCCGTGGTGGCCAATCCAAGCCAAAAGGTGCATGAAAAACAGAGGGAAAGTAGAAGAAAACCATAGGAGAACTGAGTTGAGCCAAGGTGATGGGTGGTCTTATGGCAGTGATTCCAGCCAGCGAAGTTGATACAGATGGCTGAGCTCGGTTGAGTTTCGATGCGGCAGCTCCTGTCCAAGTATAGCCAGTATAGCTGCTTGGGTACGGGTCAAATTTCAGGATCGATTGGAATTTCACAAAATATCACAAAAAAATCACAAGTTTGGGGTACATGAATTTGATCCATTCCCACATGGTTTCCCTTCACTCGCTTCACTATGCTTAATTGATTCTTGGCAGATAGGGCCATATCTTTTCTGACATAGGTGGGGCTTGAGTGAGAACCATGAAAGTTCCTCCGGGCGGCTTTGAGGATTGCAGAAACATCACAGAGTGATTGCCACACTTGTTGGTGCACGTTTCACCGCTTGTGGCAAACGAAGTACTTGTGCCCAGATCAATTAAAGAAAATGGCAAACTCAGGAAGTTTCTACCAGAGTTTCTAAAGGAGTTTGCAGCATGTCTCCGTTGCCCAGTCGACAAAACAAGCGAACATTTCAGATATTTCAGGCAACCTTTCTGGTTCTTGGATGATCCAAGAGCACATTGTTTCTTTTCGCAGAGGTTGACATAGAGTTAGCGGTTGCCCATAGAGAACTGGTGGGGTTCACGGAACGTGATAGTCAGATAGTCGCTCCGGATGGAACTTGGTAGAATCTCAGCTTGCGGAAGGACGTTCCCAGAGAATTCAGATGTTTTCCCTGATGTCATGGGATGTCATTTTCCCGTTCTCGGCTGCACTGAAGTTGTAACGATGCGATGGTGTTCAATCACTACGCACCAGCAAACTCTAGAGTTTGGTTGTTTTTTTCTTGCCAGCAATTGGATTATAGCCGGAAAGAAGCCTCCAAGGAAGATCAAATGTAGTGTGGCCAACCAATGCAAGTGCAAGGTTGTTTTTGAGCTACAGATGAGGAGGAATTTGTGCTGGGTCTTGAAGGATTCAACGTTGCTGGGCGTGTTTATACAATCACTCATTCTGGTGTTCAGATGCATGAGCAGCTGAATTATGATGAATCATGTAGTTTCGCACACACACATACATGCACACACTGAGTGAAATTCTTTGTTAGATGATGCTAACGTCTACTGTTTGGAAATGATCCTTTGCTAGAAGAAAGAAGATATTCTAGACAGGTCGAATGGCCGTTCCACATATCACAGCAGCTCTTGGGTGTGTTTACTGTCTTGCCCAGCGCCGTTCGTCCTCGCACCATTTTCTATTCGCTTGGTGCACGTGTGAGCTGACATGAGCCACTGGTGCATGAGTTCAAGAGCCAAAAAGCCAGAGAATGCTAATATGATGGTAGATTGGTACAGGACTAGAATGTCAATTCCACTAGAATCACTAAACTAAACACTTCTTTTTGGTTGACAACAGCCTTTTTGTTGGACATGATTTGATCAGATCTGTTTCCATTCACGCAGCAGCAGGTTGTGGAAGTCAAGGCCAGATTGATCTTGGGTTGGAAAGGTATGGGTCCAGTCATTGGACTAATGTCGACCCAGAAATCACTGCTTATTTTTGGTTTGAAAAACTATTGACCCAATGGGAGGTCGATCATTTAGACTTTAACCTGGTGAGTCTTTCAACATCTTTCAACCCAAGGTTTCAAGGAACAGCATCCATCGGGTGACAGGAACCTGATGGTTTATCGAAATTTGAATGCGCCAAAAAGATCGGTGGCTGTTCTGGGAAGGTTTTTTGTTGCACCTTTTGTTTGCTGCCAACGTTTCATGGGAAGCAAACTAACCAGCCAGTGATGGCTGGTCGGGGACATCCCCAGACCGACATTTTAGATCATCTGTTACCATCAGTCAAATGATTTCTGTCGAATGATGGCTTTGCAGAGAAAGCTGAGACAATCCGAAAAAACATGTTTATCCGCTGTAGGTTTATATTATCTTATATTTATGGTGGATTTTTCCCATAGTTTCTCAATATGTTTCCCCATATGTTTCCCATATCTACCAGTGAATGGGATCAAATCAAAGCTGCCACACTGGCTGCGCAGGTGAGGGAAGCATTGCTGGGTCGTGAGGTGAGATCAGCAACGAAAGTTGAGGAACTTGTGAGCAGAGCTAACACTGGGATAATATGACAGTAATAATCGAAGGAAGTTTAGAAGTCAAACTTCCAACAATATGGACAGATGGAAAAGCAGAGGTGGGAAGAGTCAAAGAAGAGAAGAGCAGAAGGGAGAAGATCAGAGAAGAGAAAGAGTGAGAAGAAAGAAGAATGCAGGTGCACGAAAGGTTGACGAAGTCGCGGAACACTGTGTTTTTTCCAATGATTTGTGGCTCCGGAGGGTCGAAAAGTAGGCTCGCTAAAGCGGCGGGTGCGGAGCCATGTGGCCAGATGAGAGATGAAAAATGGCACGCCGTTGTGGTGCGAAGCACATTTCGAAGTCAACATGTACAAAGCACACCATTCCCGGACAACTTTTGGAAGTTGAGATGTCGAGAAAGTGCACGCCGTTGTGGCGCGAAGCACATTTCCAAGTCAAAATGCACAAAGCACACCAGGGTCGGAGCACTTGGAAGTTAGTTCACGCCGTTGTGGCGCGAAGCACATTTCTAAGTCAAAATGTTAAAAGCACGACATGCTCGGACCACTTTTGAAGGTTCAGATGTGGATTTGCGTGGCAGGTGCAAGGGATTGCGCACCTTGTCAAAAGGGAGCGAAACGTGAGGGTTTTGTAGCAGTTTCCAAAGCGTGGGCAGGAGTGGGACATTTGAAGAGGATCTGTAAAGATGCATTTTCCGTGGCAGGCGCAGTACACGAGACATGTTCATCAGAGATGTTAGGAGGTCAGGGCGCTGATTTCCTGAGAGGGGTTGCATATTGGAGCATCAGATCTCCAGGTTTGCTAAGATGATTTTGCGTGACAGGTGCAGCACTTCGTATGACTTGGCCTCACTTTGTCGTGGCAGGCGCATCACTGTACACAGATGGAGTGGAAAAATCGCACAGCTAGGCCCCTGCGTGCGTGCATTCTGGGAAAGTGGTGTCCTGTTTCAAATGTTACACTTGAAGCTCCACTTCACACTTCTCACTGCACTCTTCACACTCCACACTCCACACTTCACACTTCACACTCCACACTTCACACTTCACACTCCACACTTCACACTTCACATTGCGCTCTTCGCACTCCACACTTCACCTCACACTGCACTCTTAAGACTCCACACTTCACACTCCACACTTCACACTTCACACTCCACACTTCACACTTCACTCTTCACACCGCACTTCGCACTTCACACTGCATTTTTCACACTCCACACTTCGCACTCCACGCTTCATCTCATCTGAGCTCTTCTCACATTTATCCCAGCTCATCTCTTCTCATCTCATCTCTTCTCATGTGTCATCTAAACTTTCATAAATCACTCCCCAGTACTACTTGCTACTACAAGACTTGCACAAAGTAATTACTTCCCTACTACCTTGTACTACAAACCTTGCACAAGGGACTTCCCAGTACTACGTTGTGCTACAGAGCTTGCGCAAAGTACTTCCCAGTACTACTTTGTACTACAAAGCTTGCACAAAGCACTTCCCAGTACTACTTTGTACTACAAAGCTTGCACAAAGTATTCCCCAGTACTACTTTGTACTACAAAGCTTGCGCAAAGTAATTCCCAGTACAACCTTGTACTGCAAAGCTTGCACAAAGTGCTTCCCAGTACTACTTTGTACTACAAAGCTTGCACAAAACACTTCCGAGTACTACTTTGTACTACAAAGCTTGCGCAAAGTACTCCCCAGTACTACTTTGTACTACAAAGCTTGCACAAAGCACTTCCCAGTACTACTTTGTACTACAAAGCTTGCGCAAAGTAATTCCCAGTACAACCTTGTACTGCAAAGCTTGCACAAAGTACTTCCCAGTACTACTTTGTACTACAAAGCTTGCACAAAACACTTCCGAGTACTACTTTGTACTACGAAGCATGCGCAAAGTACTCGCCACTACTACTTTGTACTACAAAGCTTGCACAAAAGTACTCCCCAGTACTACTTTGTACTACAAAGCTTGCACAAAGCACTTCCCAGTACTACTTTGTACTAGAAAGCTTGCGCAAAGTACTCCCCAGTACTACTTTGTACTACAAAGCTTGCACAAAGCACTTCCCTGTACTACTTTGTGCTACAAAGCTTGCACAAAGCACTTCCCAGTACAACCTTGTACTGCAAAGCTTGCACAAAGTTCTTCCCAGTACTACTTTGTACTACAGCTTGCACAAAACACTTCCGAGTACTACTTTGTACTACAAAGCTTGCGCAAAGTACTCCCCAGTACTACTTTGTACTACAAAGCTTGCACAAAGCACTTCCCAGTACTACTTTGTACTACAGAGCTTGCGCAAAGTACTTCCCAGTACTACTTTGTACTGCAAAGCTTGCACAAAGCACTTCCCAGTACTACTTTGTATTACAAAGCTTGCACAAAGTACTCCCCAGTACTACTTTGTACTACAAAGCTTGCACAAAGCACTTCCCAGTACTACTTTGTACTACAAAGCTTGCGCAAAGTAATTCCCAGTACAACCTTGTACTGTACAAAACTTGCACAAAGTACTTCCCAGTACTACTTTGTACTACTAAAGCTTGCACAAAACACTTCCGAGTACTACTTTGTACTACAAAGCTTGCACAAAGCACTTCCCTGTACTACTTTGTGCTACAAAGCTTGCACAAAGCACTTCCCAGTACAACCTTGTACTGCAAAGCTTGCACAAAGTTCTTCCCAGTACTACTTTGTACTACAAAGCTTGCACAAAACACTTCCGAGTACTACTTTGTACTACAAAGCTTGCGCAAAGTACTCCCCAGTACTACTTTGTACTACAAAGCTTGCACAAAGCACTTCCCAGTACTACTTTGTACTACAGAGCTTGCGCAAAGTAATTCCCAGTACAACCTTGTACTGCAAAGCTTGCACAAAGTACTTCCCAGCACTACTTTGTACTACAAAGCTTGCACAAAACACTTCCGAGTACTACTTTGTACTACGAAGCTTGCGCAAAGTACTCGCCACTACTACTTTGTACTACAACGCTTGCGCAAAGAGTATAATTCGCAGTAATTACGACTTTGTACTACAAAGCTTG